GCCCGACGCGGCCCGGGGCGGGTCCGATTCGGGCCTTACGGGCCGGCGGCGGAGTGGGGCGGCACGGGCACTGACGTGGCGCGATCTGATTGGACGAGGGGCGGAGGCGGACATGTCCGGCGGCGGAGTGGACATGTCCGGCGCGCGGAGGAGGAAGATCTAGGGTTAGACTGCGAATTTCGGAGGGGATCACATATTTATAGGTAGAGGGAGCTAGGAGAGTCCAAATGAGGTGCGGTTTTCGGCCACGCGATCGTGATCGAACGACCGAGATGATGGAGAGGTCTTAGGTGGGTTTTGGGCCAAAATGGAAGGGTATTGGGCTGCAACACACATGAGGCCTTTTCGGTCCCTCGGTTAACCGTTGGAGTATCAAACGAAGTCCAAATGGTACGAAACTTGACAGGCGGTCTACCGGTAGTAAACCAAGGCCGCTTGGCAAGTTTCGGTCCAATCTGGAAATGTTTAACCCCCACACACGAAAAGAAGGTAGAAATGACCACCGGAGGAGATAGAAGCGCCAGAATGCAAAACGGACAACGGGGAAAATGCTCGGATGCAAGAGACGAACATGCATGCAAATAAAATGCACATGATGACATGATATGCAAAGCATGACACGCAAGCAATGACAAGGCAACAACAACGAATAAGCGGAGGACACCTGGCACATCGGTCTCGGGGCGTTACACTGGACCACCATCAGCCATCAAGGTCAATTACCGGTCGGCGACCGCTGCCGACCTCATTCGGCTCTCGGGTGGGGCGCCGTCGCGGAAGTTGGCTGCACCCCCGCCTCCTTGTGCCTCGCGACTGCTGTCCTCGATGACCGCCGGCCGAATCGAGCTCGGCTCTCGATGACCATCAGATCCTTCTCTCGGCCTCCCACCATTAGATCCTATGTTTCAATTGCTTTCCAATTTTTTTACACCTTAATGCCAAAAAAAAACTTTCTCTTCCATCCTATAATCATTTTTACATCACCAATTTTTACATCCATTGGAGATGCTCCCGGCTCAGCTCCCCCCTCTCCTCTAGATCTCCCGACGCAACAAACGCAAGGCCACCGCCGCCTCCGCAGTCGCCGCCTCTGCGACCTTGCCCGCCGCCGCCGCCGCCGCCGCTGCCGCCCCGAGAGATGGCAAAGGCATTTTACGCGGTGGGGTTCTGGATCCGGGAGACCGGTCAGGCCCTCGACCGCCTCGGCTGCCGCCTCCAGGGGAACTACTTCTTCCACGAGCAGAGTAAGAAGCATAAACACATTCCCTCGCCCCTAACAATCCCCCCCTCCCTCGTCGATTTTTGCGGATACTCCGGGCATCGCGTGGATGTGTTCTTCTCGGGCGGCCCCAAAAGAGTGAGCAGATCGAGAATGCCGCTTAGGGTTAGGGACGGTTCAGGAAATATCACGGTTATGTGTGTCCCATTAGATTGGGGCTGGGTTGTCCATTGTTAGGTCATCAAGGTCTTGCACAGATTCGAATTCAAATCGACCGTCGTTCTACGATGAGTTGCTCAGTTCATTTTGTGAAATATAGTGTTGGTTATTTACTGACGTTTCGGAATAGTTAGTTAACATGTTTAATGTATAGTATGGTAAAAATACAGAGGTGGACAGTGTACGGATTGTAGGTCACTCTTTGGTAGAACTTGCCTCTTACCCAGTTATATTTATACTAATTGCATATTAACTGAACTTGCCTATTTGGTTCTGCACATTTCTTCCTAATCGATCCCATTATCCTTGGATGTGCATATGTTGTGTTCACCCCTTATTTGTGTATCTGATGATGTTATTTTTGTCGTTTTCTGCGGTATTGTTTCTGTATATTTGTAAGCTTAGCAATCCCGTGTTAGCATTTTGATCGCACATCTCCTGAATGATATCTAAGTGTCACATTTCAGTGACAAAAAAGGCATTGCCATTTTACTTATATTGATTGACTCTATCTTCTTTGATCACTTAGTCCCTGATCAAGCTCATGAATTTGTATTCCCTCTTCATGTCACACTCTGTAGATGGATAAAATGTGTATCCATCTGTAAGTTTTTCTTCATCTGCATATTAGCTTTCTGTGGCTGTGAAGTGGTAGATGACACTTTCTGATCATTTGATCTTCTGAACGCTTATCTGCAGGATGCTGCTTATGTTGTAGTGTTGTACACTGCATCTAATTATTATTGCTATGTTTTATGTTGACATACATTATAATTGTTTGTGCTGTTGTGAGCAACTATAACTATCAAAGTGCTAACATGATTTTTTTTGGACCTACCCAGTTTCAAGGCATCGCACACTTATGAACATCTTTGACAAAGCCCCTCATGTTCACAAAGAGGCATTTGTCGCTCCAAGTGCATCCCTTATTGGCGATGTTCAAGTTGGACAAGGGTCTTCAATTTGGTACGGCTGCGTCTTAAGAGGTTTGTGCTCAATTTCCCAGTGAGCATCATTTTGGTCTCCTTTGCTAAATCAACGTACTTGATTTCAGGTGATGCAAATAACGTTCAAGTTGGATCTGGGACGAATATACAGGACAATTCTGTTGTGCATGTGGCAAAATCTAATCTAACTGGGAAAGTCTTTCCAACCATCATTGGAGACAATGTCACAGTAGGTAAATATAGATATACCTTCTGGTTCTTGTTTTAACCATTGCTTTATTCCATAGCCTCGCGATGTTTAATTGTTCATTATTTGCTTAGACCAAAGTCTAGTATAGTAAAATTGTTACTGATCTTTATCGGGGTACTACTTCTCATTGGTATCCACAAATATTTCGTTATTGGAGCCCTAAATTATGCTCTCTGGACTGTAAGCATACATACCAGACAGATACCATGTTTTTATTCCAACACAATAGTATCGATAATTCGAAGACAGTTTGAGCAATTGAGCTTTTGTGCAAAACCTTAGTAGAGTTAGCTTGACATACATTTAGCAGAGGATATGCACTATAAATAAACATTTGTATTCGAAATTTGAACTCTGATATTGGTAATGGTACCCATTGCCTCTCATATTGCCCACTATATGATATGCCAGAACCAATCTGACACTAAACCTGTTTTCTTCCATGTAGGACCTTCGTTCTCATGTAAAAAAATCACTGGTATTCTGATATAATATATATGTTCCAAACTTTGTTTCGCAGGACATAGTGCTGTATTACAAGGATGCACTGTTGAGGATGAAGCTTTTGTTGGTATGGGAGCAACCCTGTTAGATGGTGTTATTGTGGAAAAGCATGGGATGGTTGCTGCTGGAGCCCTTGTAAGACAGAACACAAGGATCCCTTGTGGAGAGGTTGTGCTTTACTTCACCATTATTGTTTGGATTCTTATTTAGGTCATCTCAGACACATTTGCTCATCTTTTTTTTAATTAAGTAACTCTTGTTTGATTATCTTATCTCAGCAAGTGCTCTGTTGTTGACTATCCCTGTTCAATTTAGGTGTGGGGTGGAAACCCTGCGAAATTTCTGAGGAAGCTCACAGATGAGGAGATTGCTTTTATTGCGGAATCGGCTGCCAACTACTCCAACTTAGCCAAGGCACACGCTGTTGAGAATGCCAAGCCCTTGGAAAAGATTGATTTTGAGAAAGTGTTGCGCAAGAAAGTAGCTCACCAGGACGAGGAAGACGATTCCATGCTTAGTGGCACTCGAGTGGTCCCTCCAGAGCTAGCGCCACCCAGCTCTACCCCTGCTCAATAAGCTTTGGTTATCTGTTTTTTTTTTTCCTTTCTTTGGTGCCTTCACCATCTTCAGTTTGAATTATTATATTATATCTCTATCTGCGCAGTGAGTTTGGCGATTTACGTCAATTTCAATAATTTTGGGTCGAGCGATGTTCTAAAGCTGACCATGTAGTTCAGTTTTTGTATTCCATATGTTTTAAGACCTATGGAACAAACAGAACCATTTCACACAAATTTACCAGTAGCGTTCACTGCGTGCATACTTTTACTCTGGCTGAAATTGTGAGATGCACTGGAGGAGATAAACCTACGTGAGGGGAAAACAACATGCATCTTGAGGTGTCCTGTAGGCATGCATGATCTTGAGGCCGTGGTTTGGATTTATAGGTATTTTTGCTTTTTAAATTTCCAGATTTATTAGTCCCACTTGTATCTTGAGTGAAACTTTGATCGTAAATTTGAGAAGTGAAATTTAAGTTATATGACAAAAATCATACTATTGGAATCATATTTGAGTAATTGAGTTCCTTTTTGGTATAATCATACTATTTTATTAGTTAAAGTTTAACTGAAAATACAAGAGGGGCTTATAAACCTGGACGGAGAGAGTAGAAGTAATTGCATGTATATTGAGTTCAGTCTAGGCGACTTTACTTTCATAGTCGCTAGATTTTCAGCAATTTTTTCGTTTGATTTACCAGTTTTTATAGCTTAAAATATGTTGAACACTGCCATACATTTTACCGGAAGTATATTCCTACATCTTAGGCGGTGGGTTTATTGAATTTTCTTGCTCTGGGTGGTAGATGTGGAATTCTTCGTCCGGGTTTATTAGCCCCGTCAAATTTTGAGTGTCGAGAGTGTATACTTGGATTCGTATTTGAAAGTAGTTCTTATTGATATACTTTTTAGACACATAATTTAAACTTTATTATTCAAATTTTAGGTGAACTTTGACTCAAAATTTAAGTGGGGCTTATAAACCCAAACAGAGAAAGTACATTTGTAGGTAATTGTGATTCCATGTATTGTGTCATAGGTGATCACCTCACGCGTTATGAGCTTGGTCTATTTTTTTATTGCAGTCATGCTACATTTTTTTCCATTAGATGTGGT